ATACGTGTTCCATGTATTGCACATGTCATCCAGCTAAGCCTAAAGGACCTCCTTGGTCAAATGAGAGCAAGCCCAAAGAATGAGATGCCTGAGACAGAGTGGTCTGATGCTTGTATCCAGTCTCTTCGTGAGAGACAGCAAAAAAGAGAGATTGCTGACATGTTAAACAAGGTAAGATCCTCACCCTTTTATATGTCTCTCAATTTCTAATCTAAGTTACAGATCCGGAGCTTGGCTATCTATATCAATGCTAGTCCTCAGCGTCGGGAGGCCTTCTATAATCTTCAAAAGGAAGAGCCAAAGCTTGCCCCTATCCAGGATGTCAAAACTCGGTGGAACTCTACTTTTCTCATGCTCCGACGTGCAAAGCGACTTCAGTTTATCTTTGATGAGTTTTGCAAGCAGTACAACCAGGATCATTTTGCCCTTGGTGTGGAGGGATGGCGCCAGGTTGAGTATTTACTCTGGATTACACAGCCATTCTTCAAATTCACCTCCCTTCTCTCACAGACAAGAGATGTGAGTATTCATCTAGTCTTTAGCATCTACAACAGGCTCTTCGACCATCTGGAAAAATCGATCTGGCACCTTCAGCGCAAGAAGGTGGCCTGGAAGAAGCTGATGCTAGCTGCCCTATATGCAGCAAAGAAGAAGCTCTCCCACTACTATAGCATGACTGATGATATCCCTGATGACCTTTACGCCATTGGTACTATTATTGCCCCACAGCAGAAGCTTCAGTTCTTCTCTGGAAAGGACTGGGATGACCCAGTGGCTGACTGGCATGGACGCTATCGTGCTAGTCTTGAGCGTTACCTTGAGCCCTATCAGTGGCGGCTTCTGGATACCCAATTGCCTACTAGTGTTCAACCATCAGCTATGGCGATCTCTGAGCTTGAGATGATATGTGTGCCGCAATCATCTCAACAGTCAACTACCAACCCAGATGATGAGCTCTCTCTATATCTTGACAGTGGTGCGTTCACTGCGTTATATAACTGATAACTATAAGTTAATGTATTCACAACTAACATTCTCTAACATCTAATAGGAACTGTCCCGACTGGTCCCCGCATCTTTTGGAAGGAGCATCAGCATAGATTTCCAGCACTTGCAAGCCTTGCCCGTGACATTCTCTCAATCCCTGCCACTGGTGCTGGTGTAGAGCGGCTCTTTAACTCTGCTCGAGATGTCTGCCACTATCGACGAGGCTCTCTCAGCCCTGGAACTATCCGAGACCTAATGCTTTTTATGTGTACATCCCGGTTTGATCTCAAGGAAGAACAGAGGGCAATGATCAATGAGTATCTCTCCTATGAAGAGGTACAGGCGGACAGAGAGGAAAAAGACACCAAAGCAAGTGAATTTGATCCAATTAGTGATAATGA